GACATTTTATGGTAAAATACCAATAGGTACATATATTATTTTTAAAGTCTTTTTTTTTTGAATTGGTGGGTTACCTAATATTAATTCATAGCACATTTCATGATAAATTAAAGATATACAAATCATTCTTATTTACATCCATAATTTATTATTTTTCAAAGAACTAGAATCTATTAACACCTATCTTGTAACACATATTTTATACCAACATAGGTAGGTACATTAAATGTTAGGCCCGGTCGTGACTAAAATACATTAGTCWGAAAAATAAGTTTCTGACATTGTCGTCAACTTTTAAAATACTTAAGTTTAAACATTTAAAGGTTATTGATTTCCCACCATACCTAATTTAAGTTAACTTTGGTTATGCACAAACATAAAAAACATAAATTCATTTCAACAGTTACCTACATACATATCAATCTAAATATTTTTGAATAGTTGAAAATACATTTTAGCTATTAGGGTAATTTTCATTTTTATCATATTTTACTAGGTATTTTTTTGTATTTTTGTTAAATAATTAAGATTTAATAAAAACTCATTTGATATGAAAGAAACAATAAACAATAATTAAAAATACTAATAAATAATTATTTTTATACTTATGCTCATTATGAATAGGTTTTCACTAATATACATTTAGTACTAAATAATAAATGTTATTAAAAATGTTCTAAGCAATACTTTTAAATAAAGCTACTAAGTACTAACGAAATTGCAATGGGTATACTTCAATTTAAGTTTTTGTCGGTAATTTTATTACACAATACACATACAATTAAAACAAAATAATATTTTCTTCCGTTTTTGTGTCATTTTTATAATAGGTATGACATGTTACATTGTATGTCACTTAAATAGTAACTTTTTAGACTTAACGAAATATACATATTCTATAAATAATTAGCAACACTCAAYGTCCAGCTCACATGTATTTTTCTTTTTGCTTGACAAGTGGAAAAATATAAATTGGCATATTTCCAAAAATCACACGAGGGGATACAGTTTAACGCATGACCTACGAATAGGGTCTTCAACTTAGCCTAGTTGTCGAAGGTACAAAAACGACCAAAATAGATTAAATGTTTAATTTAGTTTTAGTTTTTATTTCAAACCTACATTTTATTTTTTATTTTTTTAACGAATAGTGAGACAGAAGAGAACTAGGCACCTATTGATGATACCTAATATAACAATTAATTAACATAAAAAAATTAAAAATTCAACTTGGTCGACGCAACCAATTATTAAGAAATGTTAATTAATTATAAACCGTTAGTTGTTATCGTGCGATTGGACACAACAAATCGACAACTATCTCCTAATGTTCGCTTGACAGTTGTCAGAGAATACTCCTACTATTCATTAGGTAGTGCCTGCCGACAACCTTATCTACATAGTAATGCACTAATGCATTAGACATGAACCGCCTCAAAAGGTAAACAAAATTTTCCGTAGTTA